AAAAAAAAAAAAAAAAAAAATCACATGACATTCAGTATAACAGTCACTGAGCTACACTTAATTTGTGTCTCCATTGTTTGTTTGTTAGGCAAATGCGTAAACCACTACACTATTGAGCCACTATGTAAAAAATAAAGCACAATAATTGTCAGGGTATTTTAGATGGATGCTAAACTGCATACTGCCTCTATTCCAACAGCATGGCTTTGTATGAGAAAAGTCTGTGTGCTGAACTGAGCTGCCTGCACTCACCTACCCTTTAGTGAGCACACTGGAAACTATTTAGGGCATCTTTTGAAACCATCCTCACTTCACACATAGGTGCCTTTCCTTTTTGAGTTAAGCTTTTGGTTTGCCTACCCTAGTTTGCAAATTCTTGCTTGTCCAGTCGGTGGTGTAGGCCTCAGTGTAGACATCTAGGATGTGGTAGAGGTCATAGCACTCTGACGGCGGTTCCACATCACCATTCAAAATGGCAGATGCGCGGATGTCTTGGGAGTAGAATCTGCAACAACACTACTGGATTAAAGACAAGCACTTGTTTGGAAAAGACAGAACTAGTTAAACTTCTGACATGCAGCAGATTGATTCGTGTTTTTTCCCCATACTTGCGGTTGGTTTCTTTGCGTTCAATGAGGCAGGATCCCTCCAGAGAAATACCTGCAAACAAACCCCTGGACCTGCAGTAGGTGTACACAGCTGCAGTACTCCGCAGAGCCACATCAGCCTCCACGTTCCTAACAAGCAGAATTTATTCTATTGATCAAACTGGCAAAGGTGAAGTTTAAATGGTCAAGTAACATTTTAGAATTTGAAAACATTAACACCTAATGACCGGTTAACTAGCACTAGTGATATGTTTCACAGAACATGTTCTGCACATAAAAGATAAATGTTTTTCCAAGCACAGATTTGTTTTACTGGATGAAAAAAACAAAACAAACAATAAATAAATAAAAACAAAAACCAAACAAACCAAGCTGCAACTTGGTTCATAACTA